TGCAATGACAACTTTATCTTCATATCCTTCATCTATTAATGTTTTGATATAAGCAATCCTCTGTGCATCACTGGGCATGTCGATGTCTGTATATTGGTAATGTGATGTCTCTATTCCAAACAGATCATATTCACAATAGCTGCCCAATTTTGCAAACTCCAACAAATTTTCATTGCCAAACAAAGTTCCTAGAAAAAAAACTTACTGATGAGATATGAAGATTATAATCAAGTCTGATTACTCAAGTGAAATGATATTAAATTTCACACATACTACATAAGATGTAAGTTGAGTAACATGTGCATCAGTAATCTACAAGTTTCGAGTTACAATGAAACCTGACATGGCAAAAATTATGTACAAACATATTTGCAAAAGAAAAGCAACATGCATATGCATATATACCATTTGATTTGTCTTTGTTCCCACTTTGAACAAATTTAGTCAAAGCCTGTCAAGGCATGTCCGAGAAACTGTTGATGACATGTCCAAATGTTGATTTTTGGTGTTTTTTGGAACAAAAATGGCCGTCAATCTGTCAAAGGTCAACCAAATCTAAAATAAATCTATGTGCACATGTCTCCCATTATGACTAGTCTTTGTACCAGCCTTGAAGAAAATTTGTTGAGGCATCTCTGACGACAGACGCACAGACGGATGGACGAAACCCAAAAGTTCCCATTTCAGACTACAAAATCAATATGGGTATCTGAGCCCCATCATGAGTAAATTTCATACAATTTTTGAATAACTAGAGATTATAGAAGTGCTCTTATGTAAAGTGAATTCAACTATTCCAGCCCTATTGCTCATGCTGCTGTATATATTTATTAAACAATATTTCAAACAATTTTACCAAAATATACAAACTAATAACAGATTTCTGTACACAAACAGAAAGCATTTATAATGCATGTATTCTATAGCCCAAGGTATGTATATCACAGATGAAGGCAGGTAAATCACAGAACAAGGTAGGTAAATCACAGAACAAGGTAGGTATACCACAGAACAAGATAGGTAGATCACAGAACAAGGTAACTATACCACAGATCAAGATGGGTAGATTACAGAACAAGGTAACTATACAACAAAAGTACATGTACTACAGACCAAGGTGGATATACTGTTCATAAATCTCTTGTGGCAGGAAATATTAACAAAAAGTTGCATGTACTCACTATCAAGATGAGACATAACTGTTCGACTTATATCACCACCAGCTTCTTGTAAAATTCGGATGATTTCTGCAGGAGCTGCTTGGTCACGTCCTGGATGAATGATGACTGGGCAACTAGTGACAGTTTGTGCAGCAGCAGAAGCCTGTAACACCTTCTTTTCATTTGCTGAAAAACACATCATTACAATGTCATTATTCAGTTATGTAAACCCTG